CCGATAAACTTAAAAAAAAAAAAAAAAAATTCATCCAAAGAATACTGATGAAAATGGTGTGATACAAGTATAATAAAAATAATATATTAACCCTAAAAATTGACACCTTTTTGTAAACGTTTAGTATGTACAATAAATTCTTTAAATGGAATTTGGCACAATTTTATAGTCCTTGTAACTAGTCGTACGAAGCATTTGATATTGATCAACATCAAACATTCAACCAATATACTTAATTTATATTTACATGAGACGTAAATAAAATAAAATACGCACTTTCTCTATCTCTATATCTCTCTCTCTCTTTCTTTTTTCTTTTTTTTCTTAAAACTCTTTACAAATAAACAATTAATAATAATAATGGCAAATTATTGTTTTTTAATTCGTCATATTCTAGAATTATTTAAAGATTTAAAAGCTAAAGAAGCAAACTCTAAAACAACATGTTTTAAACAATTTTTTGAAATTAATAGTGGACAAGAAATATTTAATGATATAGGAAGTTATGGACATTTAAATGAAATAACATCAGAAAAACCAAAGAAATTAAGAGAATTTTCTTCAGAAATTAATTCTACAGCAGAATTCTCATCAACATTACCAACATTACCAACAGAATGTCTTGAAAAAATTTTTAAAAATTTAGATAATGAACTTTTCTCATGTTTATTAGTTTGTCGTTCATGGTGTAGAAATATAGTTCCAATATTATGGTCAAAACCTTTTGATAAATTATCAAAAAATTCTAAATATAAACTTATTAGAACTTATATTACATGCCTTTCAGATGAAGAAAAATCATGTTTAAATTCACAACTTTTAAAACATGGAATTAAAATTCCTTATACAACTCATAGTTTATTTAATTATTCTATATATTTAAAAGAATTATCATATATGGAATTATATCAATCAGTTGATTCAGGAATAAAACATTATCGTAAATCATTTATTGGTCATAACACTTATAAAATAACTTCATTATTAACGAAATCAATTTGTAGAATGTTTTTAACAAAAAACATAACAGATACTTCACTTAATTTACAATCTTTTAAGATTGATAGACATTTTATAGATATTTTTCCTGAATTGGATTTATTTTCAAAAGTTTATCCTGGATTATCTCAAATTACAAAATTTACTTTAAATTATGATCCAAATTCTGAAAACCTTTTTAAATTTTTACAACATTTTCCTAATTTATGTATAGGATTAAATTTTTTAGATATTACTTTACCTTATTTTGAAAATGATCCAACTATAATAGATTTATTAAATTCATTAATTAAAAAACAAAAATCATTAAGAGATTTTAATTTATCAGGGGCTAGAATTGGTGCAAATATTATTATACCAGTACTTTTATCCTCTCATTATAATAATTTAATTTCAATTAAATTTCAAAATCTTGATTTTCAAAATGTTGATTTAAGTAAATTAACATCTTGTAAAAAATTAGAAAATCTTACTATATATCATTGTACTGGTTTAAATCGTTCAAGTTTACCTTTACCAAATAATTTTAATAATAGAATAATTTTGAAATCTTTAATTATAGGTTGTTCTCCAAAATATCCACAAATACCTACAATAATTATTGAATCTCCACTTGGTATATCTTGTCAAGAATTATGTTTGGATTTGATCACCCCTGAAATCGTTGACGCCATAAAACATAATTGTCGAAACGTCACCAAATTAAGACTCCGTGATCATTTCATCAGCATCAACAAAAATGAATCTTTCACTCCGGAATTTTTAATAAATAATTTATTTCATAGTTTATTACTTGAAAGATTAACAATTAATATTAGTCCAAAGAATAGTGATTATGAAGAATTAAATATTCATGGTAGAGATTTACCATCAAGTTGTTGGTATTTAAAATTACATTGTGGATTTTCTGTTAGACATTTATATGATTTATTATTAAGTGATGAATGTATGGCTTCGATTAGTGCATTAATCGTAGATTATTCAAAATTACATACTGGACATTTAATGGTCATACGAGATCTAGTAAAAGAGAAAGGAACTTTAAAATATTTTGGTATATATGGGAAAAAAGAATTTGGTAAAGAGGAATTGGAAGTGATTAAAGATTTACAATATAAATATAAAGTTAACGTCAATTTTGAGGACATTGATTTTTAGATAATACAAACATGTATTCAGATTTCAGATACAATAAATACCTTTATTTTTTATATACATATATAAATAAATATATTAAAATACTGTATACAACATAAATATATATAATATATAAATAAATAATATGTATGTATATATATATGTATATATATATTTATAACAAACAAATATTATTTTTGCATGGTCCACCTCCTGTTCTTTTATACCATATAAAAAATATTATATAAATAATGAAACTAGTAATTGGAACTACAGTTATTCCAACTAAGAAAGGAATATTCTTTTTCTTTGGAGGTTCAAAAGATGTCGTCCAAATAAAATTTTCATTATCACTAATATTAAGAAATAATACATCACTATCTCCATACAATTTATAATTTGGTACATCAAAAGGTTTTTCATTATTTTTACCGAATAATACGATCATGTATATTCCAACTACGGTAGCGGTATGTTCACATCGTGTAATTGTTGGAATAGATCCTGAAATTGTTGGTCGATACCATTCAAAATGTTCAATCTCTAATACAATTATGGGAGGAAAATCAGTGTTTGTTATTCCTCCATCAAGATTAAGATTATATGAACCTCCGTAAATAATTATCCTTTTTTTATCCAATCCAAGTACCGATGAAAATCCCCATCTGCCTCTTGGAATGATACCATTCACAACTCTTGGTAATGTATATTGCATTTTCCATTCATCTTTTTTCGTATCATATATAAAAACTTTATCAAAATCAAAAATATTACTTATGTTACCCATTCTGGTAATTTTTTCGTCTCTTCCACCCAAATAAATTATTTCACCACTAGGTAATAATGTAGCACCATATGAAGCTGGAGCATAATTAGCAGCTTCATAATACAAAGATGTGGAATAATAAGTTGCCATCAAATCAATCATTTTACCAATATTCCAACTTAATTTTTTAGTATCAAGTATATTCATAGAATTGTAATATTTTAATGATGGTTCTTCCGTATAACCTCCGAATAAGTATATTTTACCTTTTTTATCAACAACCGAATTCATATTTCTTCTTCCAACAGGTTTCACACCTGAAATTGTTGGTTTAACCCATTTATTTTCTTTCGTATTATATGAATATACATCCGAATTCATATCAATTATAAATATAGTATCTTTCTTATTACCACCAACTGCCGCTGAAGCACCATTATGTGAAGGAGAATTTTCAATATCTTTTAATAATGGCCTCCACGTTAAATTTTGTGTATTAAATCGGACTGAAACGTCAAGGTAAAAAAATACATCCCCTGGAATATAATCTTTCGAATTAATTATACCATCATCACGATGACTATTGTTTCCATAAAGTGTTCCACCTGAAATGTAAAGTTTTTCTTCAATAAGAGTTGTTGTATGTAAATCTCGTGGCGAAGGTGTAAATGTTCGAAATGTTTGAGCGTTTAATTTAATAAGAAATTGAAACAAACTAATAAATAAAATTTTCAAAACAAAATAATAATTATTCTTCATGGTTGTATGGATATAAAAAAAAAAAAAAAAATTTTTGAAAAAAAAAAAAAAAAAAAAAATCAACTTTTTTTTTTTATTTTTAAATAAAACGATGAAAAAAGAAAAAGATCAAAGAATTGAATTATAAATGAAATTTCAAAAATAGTTAATAGATATAATAAATATTTAAGAATCTGCGCCACGCCATCAATCTTAATGATAAATTAAGGTTTTCATTGAAATTTCTTTGTTATGAAAAGGAAGTAATGATAATTCTTCTTTCCAAGAATTTTCTAATCTATTAATAATTTTATTAACAAATTTATTATTTTGATTATCGTTAGATAAATAATATAAAATTATTTCATCAAGATTTGGACAATAATTTAAAACTATATCAAGACTTTCCATATATTCAATATTAAAACCTAATTGTTTGATAGATTTTCCTGTTGATTGTAAAATAGGATGTATAATTTGTTCCAAATCAGTAGATAATTCAACTAAATGTAAAGTATTTAAATTAAAATTATTATTAGATAAATTATAATTATCTAAACCTTCACAATAACATAATTTTAATATTTTTAATTGGCTCAAACTTAAAAGAATATCTAACGATGTTTGATCCAATTTAATGAAAGCCAATGTGATCGAAGTTAATGTGTTATCATGAGTAAGTAATGACATCATCACAGATTCAATCTCAGCACATTTAACATTTGATAAATTAAATTCTCTCAATTCTTTTTGTGATCTTATAGTTTTAGAAATTGATTGTAATAATTCATCATTATAAGCATTGATATTAAATTTCAATTCTAAAATTTTAATATTATGAGATAATTCTGAAATATGATTTAATAAATGTATCGTGTTAAGAATTTTTTTACTATCATAATCAATTTTAAGTTTTGAAAGATTTAAAAGATTTGAATTTGATTCAGTAAAAATAGAAATATCAGGTAAATCCATAGTATAAATTTCTTTATCAATTATAAGAGATTTTAAGTTTATACTTTGTCTTAAAAACATTTGAAATAATGAACCAGTTATAAAAAGAACTTGTACTTTTTGATGGATTTCATTGGCTGATATAAAAGTGATTTTCTTCAAATAAGATAAAACAAATTTCTCCAATTCCAAATAATGAATTTCATGTATCATGGCCGTATAATTAAATATAGGATTTGGTTGTGTAGGAATTATAATATTATATGCTTTTAATTTAGAATTAATTAATCCTGTTTCTTCTAAACTAAAGAACATTAATAAAGTATTTATAAGTTTATAACGATTTTGTTTTGAGCACGATTGAAATGGTCGATCCCATAAAAATGGAACGACATTTTTACTCCAATATCTATTTACTAATAATGATGAATATAATTTAGATGAATTATCATCTTTAATATAATTAAAAATCTTTTGCATACATTCCGTTGGTAAAATTGGTGCAATTCCTTCTCTTATAGGTTTCTCCTTTTGATTTGAACGTTTTTTAAAGGATATGATTAATTTATTAAAAGTTTTTGAAAATTTTTTCATTTTTATCATTTTTTAAAAGATTTTTGAAGATCAAAGAATAAAGAACATAAGAAAAAAAGGAAAAAAAAAAATATGTATATATATAATATATAAATCGTTCTTCTTTATGTTACTCAAATATTACACAAAAGATTTGAAACATTATCCCTTACTTTCGCTATTGGATTTTACTATTTATATACAGAACCGAATTTCCTATATCAGTCATTAATGTAGAATTGAATGGCATTCTAGCATTCAGGATGAACCAGTCAGTTATGATGATAACATAATAACGCAACTTAAATTTATTTATGTTAATCAACATATAATAATGTGTTACGGTGTAACATATTTAAGATTTTACACGTAACAAAAAGTTTATTAAATTGTTTAATTTTCATTAATTGTTCTCCTGATCTCCTCAATAAATTATAGTTATAGTTTTTTTGAGACCTAAATTTTGAAGGCATGTGATGCGATCACGTATCGATCGCCCTGCAATATTTATATTATTTTACTTGATTTACATACAAATCTTTGTACTAGTTGTAGCGTAGTTTTACTTCTAGTATAGTTTAGTTCGACTGCTCGCGGGATGAGATACATAGTTCCAATTACTTGAATCGCCTATGTAGCTTTTGTTAGCACACGCTTTTACTGTAATAGATAACGTTTCACTCCTCTTCTTGAAATAAATTAAAATAAATAAAAAATACATACAAATCTTTGACAATTACTTCCAAATTACCCAAATTAACCCTAAAATATTAGCTAGCAGACCGGGGCAGAGCCCGGTCCTACTGGCTACTGGCTAGTAACGGTATAAATCCAAAAAATAATTTAGTCCATAATTTTGAGGTTTAATGTATAACGTAACGAATTGCGAATTACGAAATGTATATAATTTAAATATATTTTAAGTGATTAATAAAAATATATTAATTCGTATTAATCGCTTAAATCAGTTAATAATATATCATGGATAATTGAACATATATAGTTTGGAATTTTATACTATAATAATTCAACAATTAACCTAAAGAAGTTATGAGTTCCCAGTCTTTACTAGTTTATTTATATTTGTTGACATTGATATACTGTACATAGATATACAAATTATTATGATTCGTTTAGGATTGGATTGACAAATTAATTTATGTTCATTGTCACTGAATTTCTTCCTGATTTAAATCCCATAATTTACTTTGTTTCAAAGTGAACGGTGATCTGCAAAATAAACAACAATAAATATAATTTCGTACACAAATAATAGAATTAATAATTTACTTTGTCTAATTGGTTCGTCTAATTGTTCATTATTTTCCCACTTTTATCTTTCTTTACTTGAATTTATATAACAATTAAAGTTTTACGACATAAGTACAAAAAGTTCATTTGTTATTTAAATTTTATTAACAAATAAAATATGGTCTCATATCTTTTGTACACCTCCAATGGTCAGAAACTTTGGTAAATAATAAATAAACTGAGAGAAAATTTTGTAACAATCAAAGTTGTTTTTTCTCCCTGCTTCTTGGGAAATCTTATGTATTTAATGTATGCAGATTATAAACACTTTTAGTTTAATCAATAATTATGATGCGATTAAGCCTCGATGAACCTGCACAAGTACCTGCACCACATATTTTATTGACTAACCTGATTTTGATACGATAATAGGTGTTATTAATAAACAAATAAGAATTTTTTATTTTTTTTCTTTATTTTTTTCTTTTTGGCAGTTAAGGCGCGCGTGGATTGCATGATTTTCAGGAATATAACTTTTCTGATTAGTTGACATAAGGAATGACATATTGTACACGTATAATGTGATATAATAATCCTAAAGATCATAAAAAAGTCATGCCTAAAATATAAAAATAAAGAGTCATTTGATCATTTGACGTAATCGGTTTCATTTTGTAAAAAAAAACCAGCGCTCCGGGGGCTTTAAAAATAATTTCTATAATTGGTCACAAATGGCGTACAGTCGATTAAAAAACGTAGTGGGGCTTTTTATTATTGTTTAATGAGGCTATGCTATTAAAGGAATTTAATAATTAAAAAATGATTGCCCTAAATCATAGATTCTTTTTTCCGAATTCATTTTTTTTTTTTCTTTTTCCTTTAACAATGTACTTTCGTTATATTATTATTCTCCTTCTTATTCAATTTCTATTTCAAACAATCTTGTCTCACAGAGAATATCATCACAATATTAAATTACGAACACTTCATAAACACAATAAAGAAATCATCAACAATAATGAAAATAATCATCTTCAAAATGATTCTGAATTAAATTCATCAACAAATATTTGTGGCAAATTATGTTTCGCATGTTTTACTTTGATGATATTATTTTATTTATTTATGGCCGGTTATATTTTTAAATATTTTTGGAAAAAGAGATTTACTACAAGAAAAAGTAGAGAAATACGTTTTGGTTTAAATAATGAACTGAGAATGTATCCTCAGTTTTATAATAATAATAATAATAATAATAATAGAGAAAAGAAAGGACATAATGAAGGATATAACTATGAAGGTGATTGGATGGGTAAAAAGAATGAACCAACTATTTGCGTTAATTTGAATAAGGAGGAAAATGGGATGGTTTAAATAATTGTGCGCGTGAAAATTTTATTCAATAAAAATTTTTTACTGGTGATAAACCGATTTACTTTGAATTTTTAATTGGGATTGTCGTGACTTCATATGATCAAACAGTTTATACTTCTTAAGGTAAGATGGCGTTGAAAAAAAAACCTAAACTTCTATATATATGTATATAATCCATATTTAAATCAGTCAAAATAATTTCTTTGAATTTTTTCGAATAAATAAATAAAAAAAAAAAAAAAAAAAAAAAAAAAAAAAAATTAAAATTATTCATTGAATTGATTTATAGTTTTTTTAAAAATTATGAAATTTGCTAAAGTTCTTCGATCTGAATTGGTACCAGAATGGAAAAAAGCATATATTGATTATAAAGAATTGAAACGTTTAATAGCTTTTATCAAACGGTCATTGGGAGAACAGCAATCATCACAGCAGTCAAACCAACAATCAAACCAACAATCAAACCAACAATCACGACAAGAACAAGAAAGATGTGAAAGTTTAAATGCGAATGATTCAATTTCGATGAATTCTACCGAAATTTCAATACCGATACCTGAACAAACTGAGCGACGATTATCTAATTTGTCTTCAAAATCTGGTAGTTTTATAGATAAAATTAAAAGTTTTTCAAAGGGAAGAAAATCTTCTCTTAAAAATTCTTCTCGGAGTAAGTTGCGTAAATTATTCTAAAAAAAAATTTGTAATAATATTTACAAATGTTTTAATATTTTGCATTTTTTTTTTTTTTTTTGTAGAACAAAGTCCTCTAATATCATATGACACTCTTTGGGAGCAAGTTAATCCTCAAGAAAAAAGGTTCTTTAAAGCTATAGAAGAGAATTTAGATAAAGTTGAAAAATTCTATGAAAGTAATATCAATAATAATCTATTTTATGATGATTTCTTGATTTGGAATTTAACAATTATTATTATTATTTTAATAGCGAAATTAAGTGAATCCTTAAAACGTTTTGATGAACTAGTAGAACAATACAAAATTATGAAAGAATCGAGAATAAAAAAGAAGGTAAGTTAAAATTTTACGTTTTTGCGGTTTATGGCGCAGTCTTCCTATGTAACACCTTTTTACATACCGTAGTTAAAAGAAAATGAAGCATGGCCAAAAAAATTAAGTTTAATTGTGCGAGAAATAGAACATCTCCCAACGTCTCCTAAATCAAAAAGGGTTTCTTTTACAACACAAGAAGATGATGGTCAATTTGCAGAAACAAAATTTCATATTAAACATGATCTTGATTATAAAAGTGCTAAAAAATTAATTAAAAAGGCTTTACTTGAATTTTACAGAGGAACTATATTATTAAAAAATTATGGAGTAAGTTTTAATGGGTTTACTGTTTATGTCATATAATTAATTATTAACTATTGCTGCCCATATTTTTTCAAAATAGATTTTAAATAAAACTGGTTTCGTTAAGATCTTAAAGAAGTATGACAAAGTATGCAGGAAAATTATCTTCAACGCCTATTTAGAACATATACTTAACGAAAAAAATAATCTATTTATAACAGGCTACTAAGAGAAATGGGAGAGAGATATATTTACCGCGAATGTCCAATTACAATTTTGCAAACCTCTCCTCGGTAAATAATCTTATCCAAGAAACTGAGGTACGATACATAAATACATTCATGTATATTGTAAATTGATGTCCATTAATAAGTTGTTAAAACAAATTTTTAGGACTTTTATATAAATAATTTTGAGCAAGGATCTAGGGGTCGGGCTATGAAAAAACTTCGACTTCCAAATAAAGGATTAAATGTAAGATATGAAAATAATTTTATTTTATAAAGAAAACAATTATAATATTTATGCCATATCTCCCTTAGACGTATTATTTTGTAACATGGCGTGTCGGATTATACATAGGATTGTCATTACCGATATTGGTTCGCGCAATCGAATTGGGTAAAGTTTCTTTTAATATTTATGTAATTTATGTATAAAAGAATATTAAATTTAAATGTTTCTTTTTATTATTATAAGCATTTAGAAATAAATTATCGTTCGATCCAATAAAATGGCCAATTTTGTTGCAAATATATTGTGCATATCTTATACCTATAGTCTTTGCGTTATTAATCGGAATAAATATGTATACTTGGACAAAAGCAGGAATAAATTATAAATTTATTTTTGAATTTGATCCAAGACATAATTTGAATTATAGACAATATTGTGAGGTAATTTTAAATGATTAATTTTTTTGTAAATAAAACAAATATTAATTTCTTTTTTCTGTTTGGATTTAGATCCCCGCATTTTTGTTGTTAGTTTATAGTTTTATGACGTATGTTGGATTTACTTTTGTAAAATTTGAACAATGTGTTTGGATATTGGGTATTATACTATTAAGTATTATAATCTGTCCCTTAAGAATATTTTATTATGATGCTAGGAAATGGTTTATCATAGCTATGGTAAAAAAAAAAAAATTTGTTTTGTTTCTATTTTACTTAAACAAAATGAAATGAATTTAAAAACTTTTCTATCTTTCATTTAGTTACGAGTTGTTGCAAGTGGATTTTACCGTGTTGAATTTAGAGATTTCTTTATTGCTGACGAATTAAATAGTTTAACGTACACGTTTATGAACTCGCAATTTTTATTCTGCGCAAGTAATTATCTTCTGACTTTTCAAAAAAAAAAGAAAAAGAAAAAGAAAAAAGAAAAAAAAAATTAACAAACTTTTTTTTTTCTAGTTAACGTGTGTAGATTTTCTCCTTTATCACCATTGCTAACAAGTTTACCGCCATGGTGGAGATTCATTCAATGTTTAAAACGTTATTCTCTTACGTACCATAAATATCCACATTTACTTAACGCAGGAAAATATTTTTCAACAATCGTGACAGTATGGCTATTATTTCTATTTAGAATGTATAATAATAAAATAACCAAATCACTTTGGATAAGTGGTCAATCAATTTCTTCAATATATAGTTATTCATGGGATGTATTAATGGACTGGTCTTTATTACAACTTGATAGTCAAAATTATTTATTAAGAGATGAATTGAATTTTAAGAATCATGCTATTTATTATTTTGCTATCGTTTCTGATGGATTGTTAAGATTTAGTTGGACTCTACAATTGATTATACCTAGCAAATATGCTATAGCTACTGTTTTTGTCATTGCTTGTGGTGAAATGTTGAGACGCTGGCAATGGAATTTCTTTCGCGTAGAGAATGAAGTAAGTATATTTTTTTTTAATCGGGACTTAAATCTTCAATTAAACAAAAATTAAACGTTTCCTTCCTTCTCTTTATAGCATGTAAATAATTGTGGACAATTTCGCGCTATTAAAGAAATACCATTACCGTTTGAAAGAGATACAACAAATGACGAATTAAATTTACCAAGTGAACCACAGGTTATTAAATTATCTTCAAGAATAACAAATGCATATTTACCGCAACGTAGAGCAGGTTTTCCTCACCAAACCGATGATATACAAAGATGGAGAGATTTTCAACCTCGTTCTAATGCTATATCTTATGCTTGCAGCGAAGTAACTGACGATGAACATTCTGATATTAATAGTTTAGACGATCAGATTTCACAATTTGAAACATCTTTTCAGGATGAATCGAATAGAAGTAATAATAATGAAAATTACGGCAGTAGTGGAACTTCTGCTATTGAAAGTGATGCTAAACGTGCTTAATTAATATAATAATTTTTGTGTAACTATATTTGTCAAAAGGTCTGGAGATTTTCCTATTGCATAAACAATACTTGCATTATAAAATTTCATTATTTTTGTAGATAATAATGTTAATAAAATTTATAATTTATAATAAAGTGTTTTAAATAATTGACAATTATATTTTCCAAAACCCAAGATCACAACTCTGTTATTAGGCTATTTAATATATTTAAAGTTACTATTTATTATCGTAATGGATCATGCTTTAAAATGATAGTAACATTTGCAAATTTCGCTAAGGTACCTAAAATGAAATCATATTTATAAAATATTTTACCGTAAACACAAATGTGAATATATTAATCATCTTTGATTGATAGTTGGATCATTATTGATCTTGATCTTTAAGCCTTTGTAGTGATACATTATTTATTAGGAAGATTGCCGAACGGAATTTTCGTATAGTTTTTCATTTTAGAAAGTAAATTTAACCAAATTTTTCGAATAATAAACTTTATTTTTCACAAGTATAATAAATCACTAATATATACCATGAATATGTCAAGATAATTTAAATTGGATAATAGTCACTTCTGGACCTATTTAAAACAATAAAATATAAAATAGAGGAAATAAAGGGTAAGAATGAAATAAGTACGAAAAAATAATAATAAGGAAAGTAATAGGGTATGCTTGGGGAATCAGGGGATTCGTTCTTGGGATCCTTATGCTCGGGATCCTCATGCTCGGGATCCTTTTGCTCGGGATCCTTATGCTTGGGATCTTTATGGGGAATTTCAATCGTTTCAATTCTTGTCTCTAATCCATATCCATCTACTTTCATAGTGCCAATAGTATCAATGATGAGAGAATTTCCTTCCACTGTTATATTTTTAACATTATAGTCTTCTTTTTGGAGGTAACATCTAATCGCATCAACTTCAACATCAGCCATTGAGATAACTTTTCCATTTTTATCCAGTCTATCCGCTTTGCCGGTGATTCTGATCTTTGCTTTAAATGGCAAATTAATAACGATCTTATCTACTGTACTGTGAACTATTACCGAATTATAAGGTGGCACTATAATCCTTTGACGAATATTATATGAAACCATTTCCGTTATAGATTCTCTGTATATTTTCTCATATTTTGAAGTAAATTCACGTCTAATTCCCTTAGTAAATCCTGTATTTATTCCTAATATCCCGAAAATAACTGCACCAATATTAAACGACATACCAACATTTTTTGAAACTGTAAGTGACTCTGATTTTTTGATTTCCAAAAAGTAAGTATTTATTTTTACTTCGGTTCTGTCAATCCATTGTTCTATTGTTACGTTCGCATTATTCTCAATTGTATAATTACCACTTGTAAGACTAGTACGTGTCTTGTATTGATCCAATTTATCTTTTAAATTTGGAGGGTATTCAAAATCAGTTACTACTGCAGTTAAATTGTAATTACTAGGTTCAAATAACCATTGTTGAAAAAGATTGGTTTTGGAATCATTTTCATTATTACTGATATAAACATCCAAACCGTTGCTGTCTAAATTCCGAGATTTCACATGATCTATATTAAACAAGTCATCTTCAATCTTTTTAAATACCCAATGTTGATATGGGTTAAATATAGAATTATGTCTAGGGTCACCGGTATATACGCTTTGACCATTGCTGTCTAAATTTCTACCCAAATTTACATTAATGATATTATATCGATTATTATTCGCCTTCCGTAAGGTCCAATACTGATTTGGGCCAGACGCGGAACTCACACATACTTTGTTACCATCGCTATCCAATATCGATCCTGACTTCAAATGAATTATGTTATATGTAATTCCTTCTACTAAATTAAAGTCAGTTGTAGAATTGGAATCTGTAATAACTCTATTATTAGGTATTAAGTCACTATACGTAGAAATTATAAAGAGTTGAAAATAAAGAAAAATAATATATTTTATTTCCATAATTACGAGAAAGCGAAAAATAAAAGAAAGTTATCATGGGAAAAATCCACAAAAATATCCTTCCATAACATATTATTCTAATTGTTACACCTATCAATTCTAATTCATTCTTATGTATTATATCAGGGTTGGTTAGGTTGTATTGATCTACTGCACATAATCTACGTTACATACATTTTAGTTTGTTAATCGCGCGTATTGAAGTTTGGATGGAATTATTTTTCACTCCCGCGGTACAATGCATTGATAATTCCTGCCTTTAACGCAATTATCCTTTATACACTCACTTATAAACCTTTTTTAGAATGAATCTTGATTCATTTATTCAACTTTGCAAATAACTACCATAACAACCCAATATTTGAAGATATCTTAGATTTATCAGATATAATTGGTTAGTACATCTAGGTATAAAAAGTTACCCGGATCATGTGATCTCGTAACTGCGTAGAATACCTAGGGGATAGGTAAATAAACGGGGGGTACAACTTAAGGTTACACAGGGCTGATCAAAAATTACCAGAACTGAAGTTTTGAAAAATGGTTACACGAAATAAAATCATATATTAAAAAGCGCAAAAATTGTGAAAAATTTTAAATTTTTTTGATAAAAACGCGTAGAAGAGCAGCCGATTTAAAAAGTTAAGATCATTTACGCTAATTCTACATATACAAAGTAGTTTTGTTCAAATTGGATTAGTGTAACTTTATACAGGTTACTTTCTTTCTCGTAAAAATGACTCGGAATGCAATTAAACTATTTAATTCACAAATATTACTATATAATGTTCAAAATTTTATTATTTTATAGTAAAGTTGTAGTTTTACAGTAGTCTACAATGCAAACATAAACCTTTTTAATAGGGCTTCTTCACAAAATTGGGTTCCTTTTTTTAGGTGGTCAAAAATCAAAGGTATTAAAATTTTTTTTCTCTTATTTTTAACATTATCCCCAAACGCCCAGAGCAACCATTGCAACTCTACTACTTGAAATATCTTTGAAAATACTTCTTCAGCGTCATCTAGTTTTGCCAAAATTTGAAGATACCCCAAACCAAGTAACGGATATTGTGGAATATTTTCTTTTTTAATTAAAGTAGGTTTATTTTCTTTTCTTGAGATAGTTTGAGTGTCTTTACGAAGGGTTTTCAAATTCTCAAGAAGGCTTGAAGTTCCTTTCTCAGGAATGAGATCGTTGAAACTTCACCATGTTTTTTGTCTACTCCTCATATATATAGAAATAATTCATTCATAAAGAAAGTTCCTAACTTCATCTTTTAACTCGTGTCTTTCGTTTGTTGCAGGTTTACAAATTAAAACCTGTTGGTCTGCAAAATCAAGAAGTATATTAAAAGATTGTAATAATGGTATCTGTCTCTTATACACATCTAGATGTGTATAAGAGACAGAATTAAAACCTGTTGGTCTGCAAAATCAAGAAGTATATTAAAAGATTGTAATAATGGTAAGTTGCCAAGTAAACTGTTGTATATATATTGAAGAGTATTTGGTCCTAATTCCTTATGCTTCTCAAATAATAGAAGAATTAATGATTCCATCTTATACATGAACTCTAGAAATTCTTGACCAGGAATCACATTTGTTATTTGTGATCGAACATCTTGTTCATATACCACTTGTTCTGAATTAAGAATTTCAAGGTGAGAGCAAATAGCTTTGAACTGTGGATGCGATTTTGTTTGTTTATCACTTTTGGTTAATTTATAAACAACCCAACCAACAATATAGGAGAATTTTGATGCTTCGATTGGTTCTAAAACAATAATATTTTCAGGTATTAAATTACAATCTGCAGCTTGATCTTTCTTAATAGCCTTTTTTCTAAATGTATGTTCTATAACTTTTTGTAGAAGTAAATACGCAACAAGTCTTAGAGTTGAAGAAGTATGTAATTTAGTTACCGTCAGAAACTCCTCATACCAGACACCAGAGCATTGATAATTATTCAAATAAAGTTCAAGATGAGAACTCCAAGTTGTCAACCACTGAATACCTGGTTTTTTTGGAATAGCCTCACAAGCTATCTTTTTGATAATATTTTGCCATGATTGTAATAATTTATCAATAGAATCCAAATAAAGCAAAACTTCAATAAGGTTGCATCGTTCAGTTTGGAGTTGATAAACTTTAGTATTTTCACAATTAACACTATCATTAGAAGATTCTGATAAAGATTTAAAACTTCCCATAATTAAATTATCAGTAAGAAGGCTTTCAAAAATCCCACAAGAAAAAGTTGATAATTGTAATAAACGAGTATTATATTTTTGACATATATTATTATTTTCTTTGTCTTCTTCATAGTGTTTTTTATTTTTTCGATAATCTCTAATAAACATAAAATTATTAGTAATAATTCTCATCTGTCATTAAATTTTTAAGACGATAAATACCTTCTCATTAAAGAAGCAATACCAGTTCCCATAGAATTAGCTATTCCGTAATTGACACTTTTTATTTCAGAAGAAATCAATGCTGTAATTTGATATTTATTAAAAGTGTGTCCATATGATTTGAGTGTCTGTGTTGAAGAATCTCCTCCAAGTTCACGAATAGTACCAAAAAGACCTTCAAGCATATCTTGTGAAATACGTCGTGGTTGAATTATTGAAACTGGATACTTTTTTAAAATAAACTCTAATATTCCAAGAAAACCATTAATAGATAAAATCAAGTCAAATTGGCATTGTGGTGAAATCCATTCCATAGGTCCTACTTTTTGTTTTTCACCATTTACAAACCAATCACGAATTTCTTTTAAGGTATTAATACGAGAATCATCCATAGAGCGAAAGCAAATTTTACTATGCAATATCTCACGATATTTTCGTGCATGTTTGATAAATTCCTTTAAGAATTAAAATTATAAAATTATTAAAGTTTTAATTATAAATATAAATATATATGTTTAAAATTCTTACCCTTGTTCCTTCTGATATATCTTTAAGTTCTTTAATGGATGCTAGAGCATTTTCAACTTCCTTTGATAAGGTGTGTTCTACAAGATCCACACGCATTTTACTCCATGATGTGAGCCAAATATGTCTTTTTGTGAGTTTTGTAGCTTTTGCCGTTGCATGTTTATTTGTATGTTCATATACACCTCATATATGTTTCCAGCTAATTTCCTTTCTATTATACATTATTTCTCTAGCATTTTTTTCACCTGTATGACTTTTTGATAAATTATTTCTAAGTTTTTTGAATACATGTGTTGGATCACTAATAAAAAACCACTCATCTCCAGTAATTGGATTAATAGTTTTATGACTTGCTATAAGTTTTTGATCATCATAAACAGGACGAAGAAATTTATCAATATGATAATTAAAAACCTTCCATCCTTAACTGGCTCCTTCTGCATTAGTAATTTCAATAGATAATGTAGATTCAATTGAATCAAAATTAGTTATTTTTCCTAAATACCATTGATCATCTTTTGGACTCTTGAATTCACATATTTCATTAACATCCCATTTTGATTTTGAAGGCATTGGTGGACGAATATAAGTTCGATCAATTGTAAATTTTCCAGATTCATTACAATCACGTAAACATACAGTGAATTTTGTTCTTTCATAATTGCTATCTATAATTTTTGCTGTATGAAAAGACTTTTTGTCTTTATGAAAATTAACTTCTACAATATCACCAGAAGACCAGGTTGATGCATACCAATCAAAACTTTTTATATGAGTCCTATTTTCTCCTGCACCATCACAAATTGAACCATATGTATGTATACCAATACATTCTAATCTTGCTGCAAGATTAAATAATAAGGTATTTAAATTGTGTGCTGTAATTGTATTAATACCATAATAAGCAATTGGAAACGCAAAGTTATGAGTTGTTGAGTGCCAAACAATTTGATGAACTTGAGTTGCAAGATTTTGTTCTTGTTTTTTAATTATAGAATTAGGCAATAAATTATTATTTTCAGATGCTGTATGAATCTCATTTTGACATTGCAAAGCAAATAATTGATAATCTTGCATTTCATCTTCAAAATCTAAATATCCAACATAACAATTCTCACGTTAACTCCAAAGAAGACCTGTTTTAAATATTCCTTAATAAATAAAAAAATATATTTTTTACATGCATTTTAAAATAAATAAATACCTTTCTGAATTTTAAAAGAGTCATGAGAAAAAAATCCTGCTCGACAATATACCCAAATATTATTTGTTGTTAAGCTTTCTAATATTTGAAAAGCAGTTTTGTCTTGCCATCCTGAAAACTGTTCGCCTTCATTAATATAATTTTTAAGAGTAGAAATTGATGGTAAGCGCATTATTGTCTTCATTACATTATAAGCTGCTTTTCCAGATTTACTATATACAGATATTGCCCAACGTAAAAACCTATATTAAAAAAAATTAAATACATTAAATTTTTATTATTAAAACACTAATGATTAAATTCTTACATTAGATGGTATCTTGTTCCATTTGGCTTTTCACTTTGAATGCGAATAAGTTCTTGGAAAATAGGATAAAGACTTGAAATATCTATATTTTTATTTATAACATTTTCAATAATAGTATGGGTAATTTTTGACATATTATCTGATATTTCTCCTCCTTCATTTTCTATTTTCTTTTGTAAACAATCTCTTATATTTGCAAGAGTTACATATTGTGTTTTAATAAGCTTTTTTTGATGCTCAATTTTTTCTATAAGAATCTCTTTAGAAGCATATGCAATTTTAACAGAATTTACGCCAGCCAGGGACCTTCTATAAATTTGTTGCATTGTTTTGTAGAGTTTTTGACAATTTTCACATTTATTATCACATGTATTTTCATCATTTATTATGAATTTACAATGAATATGTCGGTATGCTTCATCTGGCTGATTTTTGTTTTCTAAAAAGGCAAAGGGAGTATGCTCTTTATCATTGCTAACCAATTGATCTACTCGAATTTGAACCACATTTTCAAATCCTAAAATTAAATATTTTAAACAAAAATAAAATATAAACCATACAAATAGTTGACTATAAACTACATACCAACGGTACTTTGACCACAACAAACTTTAAGAGAAAAAACATATTGAATAAGATTGCTTATTTCATCAAGAGTTCTTTTCATTGCTTTAACGGGAAAAGGAAGGTCTACTTCTTTTAATGCTTGATCAAACACCCAAACTTTGTAACTAAGAAAAATACTCTGAGCAAATATTAATATTTTCTTTTCTAATTTTTTTTTGTTATTAAAAAAATGAAGTTCAAGACCTTCACTAATCTCTCGTATAACAGTTCCCATAAATTTTCCTCCTGTTAAACTTTCTCTTTTAATTAAAGAAAGAATATCTTGGATATTCGCGTAAGTAGATACTTTCCAGTATGAATTTGACTTACTACGTAAAATTGATCCAATTGATGGACCGGATGGATTAGGTTCCAAAAAAATGGTTGCAAGGGCTGATCGATAACCTTTATATAGTCCTCTATTTTTCAATCCAACCATCCATTGGGAAAATGTCTCATATTTGTAATCATTTATAACACTATATACATATGCTTTCTTTTCTTTTGCATCATAAAAAAGTACACCTTCAAAATATTTATTTAATCTTGGAAAAAAATATACTTTTTTTCCCTTAAGATCAGGTCGAATATGCAAAAGTTCTTGCAATGACTCCACTTTTTTTTGTTGTTTTGTAAATTTACTATTGATATTCTCAAAAGACTGTTTCCTTTTACTCTAATTATGCAAAATTATTAATATTATTATTTTAAAACATATTTATAATAATATTTTTCTTTTTATTGCTCACCATTTTCAACTTGTCTTAAAGTTTCGTTAAATTTTAGTAGCTGATTAAGTTTTTCTCAAAAATCTAGAAGCGCGACAGAGATAAAATTCATTCTGTATGTAGATGAGCATCGTGTCTTTATGGTATGATCTGTTTGTCTCACGATCACATTATTTTTATTTAAATCTAACATCAAAATTTTTACGTTTAAAACGATTATCATATAGTAATATTAATAAATTATATATAACTTCAGTTCTGGTAATTTTTGATCAGCCCTGTGTAACCTTAAGTTGTACCCCCCGTTTATTTACCTATCCCCTAGAGAATACTATATTATTTAAGTATTTGTGAAAATTGGAGTTTCTGTTACGTGAAATATGACCAACATAATGCCAGAGACTTTTAAAAGCAAAGAAATAGTTGAATTTGAATCAAGAATTTAATAAAGTAAATGATTTATAATTCAAAATTTCATTATATAATTGTTAAAAAAATCATTAAAATGATAATCAAGTATTTTCCCGAAAAAAAAATCCGAATTTTTCGGAATTCTACACTTCCGAAGATAAAAAATTCGCCACTGAGAATTACCCTTTTAGGCTGATCTGTGGCTCGTACTTAAACTATCATAATCATGTGTTTTTCAGAAAGAATATTCCGAAGGTTTACCCTTATNACTGAGAATTACCCTTTTAGGCTGATCTGTGGCTCGTACTTAAACTATCATAATCATGTGTTTTTCAGAAAGAATATTCCGAAGGTTTACCCTTATATTAACTATATCTGGTATATTATCATAGTTTACTTCTGGACGCTATTTTTAAATTTCAAACGGAAAGAAAAAAATATATTTTCAGCATTAATTTCATATAAACTAGAGTTTATGAGCAATTATAATGTGTGTACTTGGTTTCTGATATTTTTCGTGGACTTGTAACTTGTGTATGACCTTTTATTTTAATTTATTTGATCTTAAAACAGGCCTTTTTATGGGCAATATTATGGTCTTTCGCGTCTAATGAGCAATTATAATTCATGTATAACAGCCTTTTATTTTGATTTTTTAATGGGTAATTTTAATAAAAATAATAATTAAATTTAAAAAATTTTAAAAGAAAAATTTAAATTTATGCGTTAGTGATGGTATTTCCATTTGATCTCTAATATTTTTCGTAGGAATTTTTAATTATGGTGATGGTCTGATCTCTAATGGGCAATTATAATTCATATATAGTGGTCTTCCTATTTGATCTTTAATATTTTTATGAGTAATTTTGATTTATGTATTGTGGCTTTCATATTTTGATCTTTAATACCTCACTTTCGTGAATTTAATTTATGTATGATGGTCTTATTATTATTTGATCTTTAATATTTTTTTTGTGGGCGTGCGATAGTCTTTTCATTTAATTATTCACAGATTTTTAATTTATATGTAATAATGCAATTTTTTTTGGAAAATATCATCTATTATATAAAAATATGAACAATTTAATATTTTACGTAGTTGAAAATAAAATGTTTATTTTGTATCAATAATATTAAAATATACTATTCACCAACCTGATACATATATTATTTATAGTCTAAATTTTTATATTTTTCCTTTCTTTCCAATTCTTTATTAATCAAATTTTTAATCGCTGTTAATGTTTTATCACATTTAGGTATATCAATATTATTGTACAATACGAGATACCATTGATTGATTAAAACCAATATCATCAAGTGAAATATCCCTTATTTCTTGAGCTATCCTATATTGACTTGGAACATCAAGGGTTTTCCTATAATCTAAAATTATTCTAAATTCTTTATCTTTGATTCTTTGCTTGTAAAAACTCGTGTTCTTTTAGGTTTCCATTGTTCATTTAATTTATTTAAGCTTTATTTGATTTATAAACAATGGATAAAATCGTTAAATTTGTTATTTTAACATGCTTCAAAATATTAAAAAAAGTTAATTTGTCATTTCATTTCGTCATACCTCCCTAAAATTCCCAAAATATCATTATCTTTTCTCACGATCTATCTTTTGAGCGATTAAATTATCAAATTACTTGCATTAATAATAGTTTAACAAAAAAAATTCAATTGAAAAGAAAATTATTATTTTTTAATCGTTCTCTTATTACATATAATATCAGATTCTTATAAAATAACTGACAGTGATCTGCATCTTTCTCGTTATTATATAATATGCAGTATTTTTTATTGTCTAACACGTTATAGTTAAAAAGATAATTTTAGGGGTAAATTTTTTGAAGTGTAGAATTCTGAAGAATTCGGAATATTCTTTCGGAAAAACACATGATTATGGTTTAAGTCTCAGTGGCGAATTTTTTTATCTTCGGAAGTGTAAAATTCGGATTTTTTTTTCGGGAAAATACTTGATTATATTAAAATGGCTTAAACAAAAGTAAATAATAGTAAATAATTAAATAGAAATTTAACAATATTATTCCAAAATAGCTTGAAAAAAAAAAATATAATAAGTAAATATTATTTGCTTTTTTTTATATATATAATAAAATTATAACAAATTTTTTAAAAAATAAAAGAACTAATTACAGTTGATTTTGGTTATAATGAATCTATTTGTATTAAAATCTTATATATATATATATATGGACAAAGGTAAGCTATAGTTATACTTAAAGGTTAAAATAGAAAAAGATTGAAAAAGGGCCTGTTTATGGATTAGTTTAGGTCTAGTACTAGAGAAGGGAGTAACTATTTTTAGTTTTCCATTTAAGAATGTATAGTTCTTATTGAATTAGAAGTAAGTTGAGGGCACTTAAAGGAATTACATTGATTGAAAAAATAAACCAAAGTTTCCTTAGAAGTAACAAGTCAACTTAGAAAATAAAGGAAACAAAGTTTTCCTAGGGATGTAATTGCCCCGATTTTTGACAGAAAACAAACCCTGTAACTTGAGCAATGCTATTATTATCTATTTTACTTTTTTTGGCCATTGTGTCTTTAACTTGTTATATTAAACTAAAATTTTCAAAACTAATTTTTATATAATAATATTATACTTTTTATAATGAATGATTATATGACTATATAGTAATCCAAACCAAATTTATAGTATTGGTTAGAATTACTAATAATTTTTTAAAAATTTATGTTAAATAAAATTATAATTCTGTCATAATATATTTTACATTTTTCATTTGCATACAATTTAATGGTTTAATTATAAAATCATGAAATCTTTTTACTTTAAAATAAGATTGCTGGAAAACTAAAGGGTTTTAGAGGATCCTGCTTACTTCTAAAATAGATTACCTCTAAGCTTAAAATAAATAAGGTTTATATATAAAATTTGTTAAAAATCCTATTATAAAAGGAAATTTTATATTACATTATTATGATTTTTTTTTCTTTTAACTAATTAACCAATAGAATTTAAATAAATTTTAAAGTAATTAGGTTTTATATAAAAGTTGAAATTTTCTACAGTGATATCTATTAATAGTAAATGAAATTCTGATTTTGGCAAGTTAGCAAAATGTCAAAATAGTGAAACTTTGCCAAAACTATATGAAAGTTTTAAAAAAGTTGGCAAAACTCTGAAAAAAAGCAAAATTTGATAAAACTTATTATAAATGTTGAAATTGTTAAAACTTTGTCAAAATTATAATAAAACTATAGTAAAATTTTAGAGAAACTAATCATAGGATTTTGGAGAGATTTAGGCAGACAATTCTACTTTAAAATAGTTAACTGATATAGCAGAAATCTATTAAAATACTTATATAATTTGTAATTAATTGTGAATTTTTATTTTAAGTTTTAGTTATTTTAAATATATAGTTTAATTTAGAATTATTGAATATTTTTGTTTTTATATTTTATTTTTGTTTTTATTAAGATTTTTTTCTATTGGTAGGTATGTTTATAAAATATTATAAAATTCTTGTAAAAGGTTTTATAGATAAGCAATTTATCTATAAATTTTATTCTAAATTATTTAATTTATTTAATGCTTTATGTAATTTTATTTTTGTTTAGTAATTTTAATAAAACTCATATTAATTTTGATACTTAGCCAAATTATAATTTTAGTCAACATTGCAAATTTAGTTTAAATTACTTAGTATAGAAAACTAGTTTAATATATTATATAATAAATTCATTCTATATTAAACTAAATTTTATAAAACAGAAGATTTATTTATTTAAGATAATTGTGGATTGGATGTAATTAAAAAATATTAAAAATATCAAAAAATTTTTTAGAATTATAAAAGTATTAATAAAATTATAGTACTTATAAATATTAAAGAATTAGATAGTATTATTTTAAAAAAATAATAGTAACTAACAGTTAATAAATAATTTATTAAAAGTAATTATTAATAATACTAATACTATGCTAATAATCCAGGTTTATTTGATTTAAGGTTAAAGTTAAACTGAGCTAAATCAACTTTAATTATAAATCAAACTAATAGAACAGATCTTATTAATTTTATTAATTTCTATTAATCCTATGATCCTATATATTAACTTGCTTTTATTGATTTCATTAATTCTATTAACTTTATTAATTTCAAATCAAACTAATTAAACTACAATTTAAAAATTTTTAAATTAAAATATTAAATTAAACTAAATTTTATTAATTTAGTTTGATTTAATTTGATTTGATTTAAACTTAATAATACTAATAATTATAAATTTTATATAAAAATATAGTTTTTATTTTAATTTAATATTAATATATATATATATATTATATATTCCCTGTAAAAAAAGTTAATCCATTTTTTATATTCCATTTTTTTCTGTAAAAAGCTCATTTTCAGAATTAATAACCTTATATTACAGAATTTATCAATTTATTTATATTTTTTGTGAATAGATCTGTGAAAGTCTTATTTTTACAGAGTTTTTACAGAAATAATGGATAAAATTTTTTATAGGGGGTTTATAAAATAATTTTATTTAAAATAATTTTTTTTTAAATTAACTTTTTTTAAAATAATTATTTTATTTTCTTTTACTATATTAAAATATAAAATTTTTTATTTTTTATTTTTTTATTTTTTTTTAATACTATGTATATATAATTTTATTTAATAATAAATTCATATATTTTACAAATAATCTATCCAATTAGCAGATATATATATTAAAATATATTTTTTAAAATTTTTTATTTTTAATAATTATAATAATTTTTTTATTTATTTTAACAATTTTTAAAAATTATTAACTTTAAAAAATGGTTTATTTAAATGCTAATATTAATAATAAAATATTGCTCTTTATTAAAAGTAAAAAGTATTCTCTAAACAAGCTATATTAATATCTATAGGATCATCTTTTCTATCATCTTCTTTATCTTCTTCATGGTCTTCCCAATTCTCTGAAATCTCCATAACTTTTTTAATAGACTTGAGTTCCTTCTGAAAAATCTCACAGAGTAATTTTCTGAAGTCTTCAAATTTAACAGGAAAAAAAATACTTATTTTAAATTACAATATATAACTTATTTTTAAATTAATTAATAATTTAAATTTATAATTTTGTTTTTTAGTTTAATAATTATTAAAATATAATATAAAGTAATTTTTTATTAATATAAATAAAAGATATTTAATTAATATAAAAAGATTTTAAAAATATAATATTTTAAAAAGTATAAAAATCAAAAAAATTAGTTGTATATAATCAAAATATTTTACCTGAAATGGAAATTAGATATTTATAATAAAATAATATTAGCTAATATATATTACTACTCTTATTAAACAATTTCCTAAAATTTTTTTTTTTTTTTATATATTTCTTACAGAGCTTTGATTTTGCTCAAAATCACTCTTTTTGATAAAACAAAAGATTGTTTTTGCAAATATCTTGGCATCTTAATGTACTTTTTTTTAAATTGTAGAGCTCAATGAGAGCCACAAAATAAAATAAAAATTAGACTACTGGATGCCAAGAAAATTGCATAACCTAATTTTTAACTTTTAAAAAAAGTAAACCCTTCATTCTGAAGAGTTCATGCTCCACTAAAAACTTTAGACCTAATAATTTTAGACCTAAATTTTACCAATTAATAATCTAATTTTGAATTATCATTATAATTTCTAATATATATTTGTATATAAGACTACAGTCAAAGTTCTCTATAACGAATCCCACGGGCCGGAGATTAAAATTCGTTATAGTAAGAAATTCGCTATACTAAAAGCCATTTTATTATAAATACTAAGATCTGTACCTGAACTTTTCTTCATTATAGCAAATTATTCGCTATATAAAAATTCGCTATAGAGAACTTTGACTGTATTGTAAAAATGTATATTCATTTTATCCAACTTTTAAGGTTGATTGAAATATCAATGTCCACTAACTCTTTGAAGAAAAGTTTTGTTTGAGGCGGCCATAGGATCAGTTACACAAACTAAACAAATAATTCAATATATATTCCGCAATTTCGTAAGATACTTCCGAGATTTTTTTCAAGACAACTCTCGATAGGAAAAAAAAAATTGTTTATAATCTTTCTTATCATATATTATCATATTTAAAAAAAAAAAATGTCAAAACCTCGAGTCGCTATAATTGGAGCAGGACCATCAGGACTAACTAGCATTAAACAATGTATCGATGATAATCTTGAACCAGTATGTTTCGAAGCATCGGAACATACGGGAGGTCTTTGGAGATATACCGAGATTGATGATAAAAATGAAGATCCACATTCTTCTATTTATAAAAGCATTATAATTATCACAAGCAAAGATGTTATGTCCTTTACAGATTTTCCGGTTCCATATGAATGGCCAACTTTTTTACACAATTCAAAAGTGGCAAGGTAAAAACAGTGTAAGAACTTTTGAATTTCTTCCGTTTATTAAAATACCATATAATATAACTACTATGATTTCTATCAATTATAGTTATTTTGATTTATACACAGAAAAATTCAAACTTAACCCTTATATTCGATTCCAATCTCCTGTGAAACGATTATCAATTCAATCAGACAAAAAATGGAAGGTAACTTATTCGAATCCGAAAAATGAAGAATGTGAAGAAGTTTTTGAATACGTAATGGTATGCACTGGACATCATCGATATCCTCGGTTACCCAAATACATTGGAATGGATAAATTTGTCGGGAAGCAAATGCACTCTCATTTTTATCGAAAGTAATTTAATGAAAGATTTTATGACGAATAAATTTATTTATACTAAATTGCCGATTTTAACTTTTCTTCTAATGGATTATTAGACCAGGAGATTATGATAATAAAAGAGTTATTGTCGTTGGATGTGGAAATAGTGGAATGGATATTGCTGTCGAATTATCCGGGGTGGCTTCACAAGTTTATTTATGTACACGTAAAGGAACTCTTCCGTGGATTCTTCCCCGTCGTATCTTTGGCAGCTTACCTTCTGACCACTTGGCAACTCGATTTAACACATATCTCCCAGCACCTATTAGAGATTTAATAGTAAAAGCCATAGCACATTGTACAGTTGGTCCTCATCCACCCGAATTCGCTCCAAAAACAGCACCAAGTGCTAGTCATCCAACTATTAAAACTGAATTCATGGAACGTGTTTCCACCGGTACGATTATTGTAAAACCCAATATTTCCGAATTGAAATCAGATAGTTCAGTTGTATTTGTGGATGGAAGTGTTTTAAGTGATATTGATGCGATTATATATGCTACCGGGTATGATATTAAATTTGCTTTTTTGGATAAAGAAATTATCAGTGGTGGCGAGAAAGTTGAACAGCAATTTGAAGAAGAATATAGGGAAAATTTGGTTTGGTTGTATAAATACATATTCCCTCCAAAATTACCTAATATTGCTTTCATCGGATTAGTTCAAGCTATTGGAGCTATTATGCCTGTTAGCGAATTACAAGCTCAATATGTTACAAGTTTATGGACCGGCAAACTATACTCTAAATTGCCAACTCAAGATGAGATGGAGGAAAGTATTAGAAGTAATCAAGAAACTTTGAGAAAACGATATTATCATGCCGCTAGACATACTATAGAAGCTGATATGATACCTTACATGGATGATTTGGCTAAAGATATAGGTTGTTTACCCTATCTTCCGAAAGTATTATTGAAATACGGGCCAAAATTATGGTACCAAGTCTTGTTCGGCCTTCCATCACCTACACATGTAGGTAAAAAAAAAAAAAAAAAAAAAAATTTTTTTTTTAAAAAATTTATTAATTTGTTCTCTTATTAGTATCGGTTATTTGGAAGACAAGCTTGGGATGGAGCTGCAGAAGCTATTCGAAAACAAAACGAAGGTAACTTATATAGTGAATTTGTTTTACGGGACGCGTGTGATTCTAATAATTTATTGATGCTTTATAGGGAGTCCGGCAATTGTAATGTGCGGTTATCCAATAGCAATAATCTTTAGTATGTTATTGGGTTTGATTCTGATTATAATGATTAAATGGGGATTGATTTCAAGGTGTACGGGTCTATTTTAAGGGATATGCCAAAAAATCCAATCTAGACGATAGAGAGTAGGATTATAGATCCGTGAGATCAATAAATGTAAAAACATCAATTTTACTTTACAAGATTTGTAAAAAAACTTAAGTAGCTACTTGATTTTTTTTTTATTTACAGCAAAAACTTTATTTTAATGTGTGTGCAGTATATTATATTAAACTTCATTTTGTCAGAAAAAATCCTAAAATATTTAATCAACAAATGAGCATCTTCTTGTATAAAAATAGCCTATATTAAAAAATATTAATTTATTCCTTTTTCTAAGAAGAAAAGGAAGCGTTTTTTGCGTTAACTTCAAAATTAAGCGATATCAAAAAAAAAATATGCCAAACATACGCTTGTAATTTTATTCTAGCATCTAAAGTTCCAAAGGAATTTTTTTATATGGACAACAATTCTACACCATAATTCTGCAAAAAAGCAATGGTTGCGGCAAATAATCCGGTAGAAATCAAGATATCAATGTTTCCCGGTCGTTTATCTTGAGCAAAAATTTCTTCTCGGAGAAATCGAGTAAAAAAATTTCCACCACCATTGCTTGAACTTCCAGAAGGCCCTCTACCTGAAGGACCAACAATAATTTGTGTGGATTGCGGTCTTGGCATCTTAATTTTTGTAAGCTCGAGAATTAAAAGATGGTGGCTTAATTTCCTTATTAATGACCAATAATTCACTATCCATGCAGAGAATAAATCAACAAATCATCAATTGATAAGTGTTATGTACTACTTCAATTAAATACATATGAAATCGTGGATGTGTATAATTGGTTCGCCTAGTTTAGATATTTGATTTATTAACTTTTTTTTTTTATAAATATTCTACACGACTGTTAAATTTTATACTTTTATCTTACCAGCAACCAATTTATTCACCGGGCTTTTTTTTTGGATTAACTGTTTCCAATGGGCTGTATGTATAATTTTGAGTTTGATTTTGTTAATTTGTTATTTTCTTTCATTTTCAACTTGTCTGTTTAATAGAAACTCATTTTTAAAATAGACCGATTTCTACATCTCATCAAGCCTTTCATGGGCATACTTCCGGAGGTCATACCACCAGACCGAAAGGTATATTTAATCTTGTTGATAATTTAGCCGGATGCTTGGTTTAAATTAATTAGAATGAGTGGGACTTATTTGACCACATTTATGTTTATAGGTTCTTTTTCGTCACAAAGTATTGTGGACAGCTGTCACACTTTGCATTTTTTTAGTGTGTTCGCAAATTCCACTCTATGGTATCATGTCCTCCGATTCTTCAGATCCCCTGTATTGGTTGCGTGTAATTCTTGCATCAAACAGAGGTACATTGATGGAACTCGGTATTACACCCATTGTAACTTCGGGCATGATCATGCAACTTTTAGCTGGTGCTAACCTCATTGAGGTTGATTTCAGTTTGAAAGAAGATAGAGCGTTGTTTAGTGGTGCTCAAAAACTTTTCGCAATGGTCTTTGCCTTTGGTCAAGCTACTGTGTCCGTAATGACAGGGTTGTACGGTAACCCCTCTGAAATTGGAGCTGGTGTTTGTTTATTACTTATTATCCAACTTGTTGTTGCCGGTCTTATCTCTATGCTTTTGGACGAACTTTTGCAAAAAGGATATGGACTTGGTTCTGGCATTTCACTTTTTATCGCTACAAACATTTGTGAATCCATTGTTTGGAAGGCATTCAGTCCTACAACTGTTAATACCGGCCGTGGACCTGAATTCGAAGGAGCAATTATTGCTTTATTCCATTTACTTATTACCCGCGGTGATAAAACGCGTGCTTTGAAAGAAGCATTTTACCGAACAAATTTACCGAATATCATGAATTTATTGTCTACTGTGGTTGTTTTCGCTATTGTGATTTATCTTCAAGGTTTCCGGGTTGAACTTCCTGTAACATCTAATCGTTCTCGTGGTCAACGTGGAACTTATCCGGTCAAACTTTTCTACACTTCAAATATGCCTATCATGCTCCAATCTGCTCTCACCTCCAATATTTTCCTTATCTCTCAAATGTTATACACTCGATTCCCGGACAATTTACTTGTTAGATTTCTCGGTGTTTGGACTCCTCATGAGGGTTCAAATCAAAACTATGCATCTGCAGGTCTTGCATATTATATGTCTCCGCCACATAGTATCACAGATTCTCTTTTAGATCCTATTCATACAACAATATATATTTTATTTATGTTAACTGCATGTGCTCTTTTCTCAAAGACTTGGATTGAAGTTTCAGGTTCTTCACCACGTGAAGTTGCAAAACAACTTAAAGATCAGGGTATGACGATTACTGGGCATCGGGATACTTCAACGTATAAGGAATTGAAACGGGTTATTCCTACAGCGGCAGCTTTCGGAGGCGCCTGTATCGGTGCTTTATCCGTTCTTGCCGATTTGCTTGGTAAGTATCTGTGCAACATTGGATTATTATTCGTTTTATTAAGTTTGTAGTATTAATTTAAAAAATTATTTTCGTTTTGAAGGTGCACTTGGTTCTGGCACTGGTATACTGTTAGCTGTCACTATCATATACTCCTATTTTGAAATGTTTGTTAAAGAACAAGTAGCTGAAGGTGGTATCGATGCATTATTGTTTTAATTATAACATTGAACATTTATTTTACAATACTATAACTTAGCTGACTTATATCATTAATTAGTTATATCATTTATTATTATTTCCTTGTAAATGTTTTCATTTTGCTTAAAAAAAAAACAAATTTTGATTATAACATAAAATCAATGAGAGATATATAGTAAAGGAGTTTTTTAGATGAAGAGTGTGTGAAAAAAAAAAAAATAATTATTTAATATATAGAACCATGCAACAAAGCACTAATAATATACATACAGACATTTTTCTAAAAAATAAACTGGAAAAAAATTTTTTTTTTTTTCTGGTTTGATTCGCATAAAAAGTTAGATTAACTTCCTTTTCTTTTAGTTTCTTATATTATTTACATAAACATTTTCAAATAAAATAAATTTAAAAGATCAAGATACTTTTATTTAATTAATATATTTTTCTTAACAATAAAAAAAAAAAGGACGGAAATTCTAAAAACAAATATTAAACAATAATAATATATTTCTACATGAATGTAACAATCAAATAAAAATATAAAAAATTAGATTTTTATATTATATGTAAGAAAAGAAATAACGCTAATTCTAATCTTTCATAAATAAAAACAATACCTAATTAATCATCACTAAGTAACCAAGATTTTTTCTTCATATCTTTTTTCTCTTTCTTTTTTTGTTTAAACATTTCAATATCTTTTTTATTCAACTTCTTTGGACTTTTTATCGAATCCCCTAATGAAGCGTCAGATGAAAGTCTTTTATTAGAAGAGGAAGAACCCCTGGATTCAGCAAATTGATCATAATCGAAAAAATAGGACATTTGTCTAATAGCTTTTGAGTCGGCAGAAAATTTTTCAGGATTCAAAGTAGGATCACGTTGAAACTTTCCAGTTCTTGCGTTGAATCTTGCAGTAACTTTATATTCACCATCATTTCCACCATGTTCTGCTAGAAATGAATGATAATCTGAATCATTTGTTGTCGTTTGATTTTGATCATAATAAGGATCTAAATCAGTTGAAGAAGAAACTAATGAAGTTTGTTCAACTTTTTCATCTTTTTCATCTTCTTCGTCTTTTTCATCTTTTTCATCTTTTTCATCTTTTTGATGATGTTCGATTTGATCTTGTTGATCATTATATTGAGAATTGAAAGTAGATGATGTTTTTTTTGTTTTTGATGAATTTCCATCAAGTTTAGTTTTAACTTCCTTATCAATCCTATCAAGAATAGATTCTAAAGGATTTGTAGAAGGTTCCGTAGTCGTCACAGCAGTAGTTGTCATATCTGAGGAAGCAGTTAAAGCAGAATGATCATATCCATAATAATAAGCTTCAGGATAATAACCGTATTGAGAATAATAATAATCATGATGTGAATAATCATGATTAATATTTTGAGCCGCTAAATTATTATTATGAGGATTCTCCCAAGTAGTTTCATTAGTTAAAGTATTCCAATAATAATATCCTTGGACATTCTCATCCCAAACCGCACTCCATACTGATAACGTTGATTGATCTTTATTTTCTTGTGAAATTTGTTCAATTTCATTCGTATTCACATTATTGGAAGTCACACTTTTTTCTACTTGTTCTTCTTGATTTGAATCATTTTTATCTGAAACGTTATGGTTATCAACATTTTTTTGTTGAACTTCAATTACATTTTCTTTTTCCAAATTTTTTCGTTCTTCAGTGATCGTTTCCGATTCAAGAACTTTGTCCTTTTGTATTTCACTTTGTACCTCTTGATCTTGAACATTCAAAGTGGGTTCGGGTTCGTTAGAATCTTTTTCTTCAACTTCTTTAGCTGAAAGGTCAGAATTAGTAAGTTGTGTAGACGACATTTCTACTTTAAAAAATTGGCTTACTTGCGAAGTAAAAAAAAAAAGATACGAAATAAGATCCACACGTTTATCACGAGTAGTTAACGAGATTTATGTAAGATTTAATTTTGTGTTAATTTTTTTTCGGATATTTATAATAGTATTTTATAATGATGTTAGTTGAAATTCTACTAAAAGATCAACCTAGCGTGACACATTAAGCTTAATTTGGAAGAAAATAACCTGCATGAGTGCAATCATCTCCGATATCAGATTGTCTTCTCACTCGATAAGTAAACAAACCAGAAACCGGAGCTAAACGAAAAACTTTATAATTATCCTTTTTTTTTCACACAAAAACGCACCAATATGACAACCAATACAATAACGAATGTGGAAACGTTATCAGCAAAACAAAATAATAATACGTCAAAGTTAAACAACAACTCAACGTCGAACACAAGTTTAAATTTTTCAAAAATTATAGCTCAAGGTAAATTTAGCTTTTTATTTACTATCATATTTGGCTGTGTTGAAAGTGGCTTCATCTCCTTTCCTAACCCGTACAATTTTTAATAAAAAAAAACCAGAAACCAAAAAAGATCTTAAAAGAAAAGCAGCGATTCAAGCAACAGCTGGTATTTTTATAATAAAATTTTTTTTTTTTTTTTTTTAAAAAAAAAAAAAAAAAAATTTTTTAATAATCCTAACAAATCGGTGCAATTGAAAATTTTTTTTTTTTTTTGTTAAAATTTTTCCGTCGTTCCAATACGTTTTCATTATTAGGAACAGTTTATTAATATGGGCAAGAAAACAACGTGGACCATATTATGATCCAACGACACGCATGTATCATGTTAGTCATAATTCGAAAAGATATTTTGCAGGATATACCGAACAGGATGCCGAAGCGTGAGTTAATAATTATAATGATTACTCTTCCTTCTGTCGCACCAAAATTAGATAAAAAGTTTAGCCAAATAAAAATTAAAATTAAAAAATTTTTTTTGTGATGATGTAATCACTTTATGTACATCCGCAGTGAAGACGCTGCTGCGTCAACTAGTCAAGCTACTACTAGTCAACAAAAAGTGAATAGCAATAATCAGAATAACCAGTTTAAACCCATAGCTTCGATACATAATAGTGAAATCATTACTAAAGACATAGTACAAGTCGGAGGAGGTCACATGCCTGCTCGAGTTCCACACAATGGACGTCGTCCCGGTCGGCCAAGGTATAAAAATAATGCAAACCATCTTCGCATTTTAGTTTTTTTAAAAAAAGTTTTAATTTTGCATTATCCAAATTAGGAAAACCGACCATTTCTAAAATATATTCAACAGCTCACTGACGGGTTTCAGTACTTGTTTTAATCTTGTTTTATAATGGAGATAGACTTTTTTTAACTTATAATTCTTTTTTATTTTTTTTTACTATTTTTTTTTTTTTTTGATGTGTCATACTACAGTATATTATTAATAGATTGGCAGCAAGCGAACGGGTGTTGCAATTGCTGTTAGCTGTTTTAAGTTTCTTTTTTTTTTTCATGGGTGGGGTTTCTTTTGTGTTTTGTGTTTTGTGTTTTGCATTTTTGTGCATAATAATCACTATTCAATTCTATCATTCTTTTAATAGAAGTTTAAAAAATTTTTTTTCTTTTAGATTAATAGATAATGTTATGTTGTTTATAATAATATAATATTTATATATACGTACATACACACATATATATCTATCTATCTATTTAGTATCTTTCCGCGAATTTCAAGTATTTTTAATTTGTTTCTCATCTATCTTTAAATCTAATATTTATTTTATTTTTATTAATTGATTGCCAATTCATTACATATTAAAAATAGTAAATTCAATAAAATAAAATACCATATTTACATTTGTATCACTAAATATATTTATATATCCGATATGCTATATTTTATATATTTATTGTATATAAATATTATAGTCATTTTAAATTTAATCGATTTCAAGAACGTGAATTTGTTTTCTTAAAATGATTTGTTATTTTAGAGGTCAAAAAAAAGGGTCATACATCGCAATTTTTTATACTTTTTTTTTCAAATCAACCGAATCGACGCGAATCAAAGTTACACGAAAATCGTGATATCATAAAATATCATTATATAAATATAGTACGTACTAACGAAATATCATCAATGAACATAAAATTCAGGAGTGAGAACTTGTTAAAAATCATGGAACAGTTTTTTTTATACCTGTCACGAAAAAAAAAGCAAATCTTATCAAATTTTAGGTAATATTAAAGCATTATTTGAAATAATAGAATATAAGATTATTAGATGATTTGATCATTTGATCATATCTGTCATCAAGATTTTTTACTTTCAACAAAGGGTTAGTATACTTGTATAAATCGAACTAAAAAAGGACAATGGGCAACAAAAAATTTCCCGCCTTCTCTATTTTATTCATCAGTGATTCAATTATTCAATTTGGGGCGGGAAAAAAAGCATAATTATTTCTTTTTTTTTTATTTTTGTTGCACGTCCCTTAATGTAAATCTTTTTTTTTTAAAAGAATTTGTTGTTTACATAAATATTTGTCTTCTCACGATGAAATAATTTTTTTTTTTTCACTTTCCTATTTATCGTATCATTATTTTATCTGAACAGGTTTTTTTTTATGAAAATCAGGTTATTTATGATAAATTTATCTCTAGAAAGTTCGTAAAAAAAAAAAATTTTCTCTTATTTTTCTCGTTTTCTTATTTAATTTTCCTGCAGGCAAAATAAAATTATAATACTATATATAGAAACTAGTAGACAATACCCTGCAGCATAACTTTCTCACCGTAAACTTGCTGCATAATTGATAAAATATTTATTTGTTTCAATTTACTAAATGTTAGAAACTTTATTAAATAGAACAAACTTTCTTTGCTTTTTATACCGGAAATAATTATACTTTTTTTTTAAAAAAAACAAAAAAGCTATTTATATATATATAACTTTACCTTTCTTTTCCTTTTCCTTCTTTTCTTTTCTTTTCTTTTTTTTTTAATTTATCATTTTGTTATCCGAATTCTGTAAATTTTTCCAAAAATAATATGGCTCCAGTTCTTATTCTTCCTCCAGCACTTTGTTTATCACCATACGGAAGCGCATTACACGAAAAACCTTCAAATTTAATAAATTCATCAACAACACAACTCTCTTCTCAACAACAAAACAAAATGTTCAGACGGTCAAATACGAATCTTACAACAATGAGATTGAATTCCGAAGAAAATATTCCATTAAGTGGTACTACTAATAAACAGACAATAACAGAAAACAAACATAAATCATCATCAAAGACTCAATCATCTTCAAGCCCTGGTAACTTACGTCAACGTTCTATTGCTTGGACTAAAAATAATATAATAACACCAGCTTTAAGTTCCGCACACTTAAGAAGAACTTTTTCTCAACAAAATGATAAACCACCAAATACTTTTGAAGAAATTTTAAATACTACACATAGAACTGAAAGAGAAGTTAAAGCATCATTATCTAAATTAAGGCGAATGGTTCTCATTGAAGGTTTACCTGAAGAGGTATTTATTTTTGATTATTTCTATATCATCACATTAAAAAATTGGATAAATATATATATTTAAATTTATTTTAATAGAATCTACCAAAATTGGCTCCTTCGGTTCAACATTTAATAAGACCTACATCTCTTCGTTCAAAAATTTGGAAACATTTTCTCGGAGTATATCATGTATCTGCAAATGAATATGTTCACCTTATAAAGAAGGGTAAATCTTGTGTATATGATAAAGTTCGGAATGATACTTTTAGAACATTAGCTACAGACAAAAAATTTTTAGAGCGAGTTAACGAAGAAATGTTAATTCGCGTTCTAAATGCGCTCGCATGGAAAATGAAATCATTCTCGACTTGTGGAAATCAACCAATTACCTATGTCCAAGGAATGAATGTTCTTGCGGCGCCGTTCTTATTTACGATGTCAGAAATTGATGCGTTTTTTTCTTTTGCAACATTTATTCAGACTTGTTGTCCCTTGTATGTAACTCCTACTTTACAAGGAGTTCATTGCGGGTTGAAGGTAAGATTTCCTAATATATATAGTTTTGAATTTAAAAATTATGTTAATCATTTTCTTTTTTTATTTTCTGTATAGCTTTTGGATCAATGTCTCCAAATTCTTGATCCAAAATTATTTAATTACTTAAAATCCAAAAACCTTACTGCAGAAATATATGCATTATCATGTTAGTAACGTTTAATTTTAATTTTTTCTTTTTCACTTTATATGTATAAACTAAATATCATTTTTGTATCTCTCTAGCTGTGCTTACACTTTGTGCCTGTACACCACCTCTTGAACAAGTATTAAAATTATGGGATTTTTTATTTGCTTATGGAGTTCATTTAAATATTTTATGTGTTATTGCACAACTTATCTTAATAAGAGATCAACTTTTAGAAGCGCAAAGGTATGTTTAAATTTTTATTTTATGTATATGTATATTTATTTTTAATACTTATTAAATCATATTTTATTATTTAGCCCAATGAAACTTTTGAGAACTATGCCAGAGTTAAATGCCAAATCTGTTATAAGTTTAACTGTACAGCTTGTTCAACAAATTCCTGACAAATTATATGATTTACTTGTTAGACATCCATTTGATTCTTCTGTTGAAAATGCTCTTAAAAAAAAAAATCAATTTACATAAAAAAAGATAGACAAATTATAAAAAGGGTTCGAAATATAAAAAAAGATTAGTCTATTTAGTATTTATTTATTTATTTAAAGATTTTCAAATTTCATTGTTCACTTGACGTGATGTTTTTTATTGTAAATTTTTTTTTTCTCTGTAGAATAAGAATACTATATAGATTTTCTTTAAAAAAAACTAGAAATTTTTTTTTTTGTACTATTATTTATTTTTTTTTTCTTTTTCTTTCTTTTGTGTATTACTAGGTTTGTATTTGTAATTTTCATTTTGTAAGTATTTCAATAAAATTCAATTTCTTTTGTTAGTCAAAATGCAATAAAACAGAAAATCGATTATAAAAATTTTTTTTTTTTTAATTTTGAAAAAAAAATATTATGTAACCCCAAAACAAAAAAAAAAGTGTATATATATAAAATAATTTACAGAAAAGAAAAAAAATTCAGAAAACTGATAATCAATCGTTCGTTAAATAAAATTTACAATAAAAAACTATTTGAATTTCCAGTGTCCCTTTCAACAAAGAATTTACAGTCTATTTTTTTTTTTAAAAAAAAAATATATATATATATATAAAATAAAATAAAATAAAATAAAATAAATAAAAACACTAGTTCCTTAATTTTACTAATGGTTAGGATTTGGATAGGATTTGATGATTCAAACCCATTCAATAATTAAGCTCAGATTCAGTTTATTGTCTGTTTTCGATGCTTTGTTGATACTTATCTTTCACAAATTTACTTAAAATGGTTCTTATTTGTATTTTTTTTTTCACTAAATTAAATTAAATTAAATTGGGATGATCATAATTTCCAGATATCATCGTTCCAAATATTCTTTTCTAATGATTGTATTGATGTGCTAAGATAACTTGCACGATTCGAACGAAGAGGATCGTCATTTTCATTATTTTCATCTGATTCTGTCTCCTCTTTAGACACTTGGTTAATTTGTAAAGGTTGTAAGGTATTATTAGAAGTAGTTGGAATTTGAATAAATGGATCCCTCATTGATGCAGAAGAATATGGTAGCATTGTTGAAGATTTATTTGATGAAGTGGGAAGCGAAGTACCTAACCTGTCGGCATAACTTTCATATCGCTTACCGTACCCGTTAGGAACTTCTCTGATGAGATCAACACAACCTTCTCTATACGGCGGAAGATCGCTTATTTGTCGTTCTTTTCTTCCAGATTTTACGTTTAACCCATTTTCAATATCTTCCTCTGAATTACTTTCTTCCGTATCAAAGATGCTCTGAGCTTTACTTTTACCTTTCTGTTTCCTTTTAGACATGGTACGTTTTCTCTTGGGTTTTGGTCGACTAGGATATCCACCCATATTTGAATAAATCACTGGGAAATTATAATCTCCATATTCTCCTAATTTTCTGCTATGCTCATACATAGCCTCAATCTCATCATCCGTATCTGGGTCAGGAAAATTTAAACTCCTTCTATCATCATCCAATAATGCCGTCCGTTGATCAGGGAGCCAATATTTTCCAGCACCACCACCTGTAAATCTTAAACCAGCCATAATCCTTGCAGTTCTACTAGGTCCAATATGTGCCATACCTTCAGCCGGTTCAAAAGTTCGATAATTAAATCGTGAACCTCGAATTGTTTCCATAGTGTCTTCAATTACATCTTTAAATCCCATACAATCTTTGAAGGCATATTTAATCGGCATACGACCTGATTGAATCTTTGGTTCGATATAATCTTTATAAGAAAACGCGTAATTATGAGCCAAAGCTGCAAAGAACATTTCAATTGTTATTAAAAAATCCTGAATTGATACCGAGAAACTTTCTGCAGATCCTTCATCAGCTAAAAATCAAAATAATTTAAAATAAATAACGTACAAACTTAAGCATAAAATACTTCAAGAAATTTATGACCTACTATCATGAATAATTCCTAGAGACACAAGAATTGAAAGCGCAAAGCTTTGCCAAAATGAAAAGAAGATTATAGCTTTTACACACAAGAATTTTGGCACAGGTCTTTTTTTTTAAATAAAAAAATTAATGATCGTTAATTAAAGTAAATAAAGACGTCAGAAAAACTCACCGATATGGCTTCAAGTCATCCTTGGTACAAACATAGAAAATTATTAAACAATAAAAACATAACGAACAGCTAACATTGTATACCAGGGAAATCCAAATATAACCGTTTTTAACTTCAATATGACCTTCTCCGTAAGTGTCGGCCCACTTTAATATCATTGTGAGAACTGTTATAATCGGTTTCAAATAAACATATTGAAGGATACCACGTTTGAGAAACAGAAAAGCATAAGGATCTCCGACATCCATATCTTTAATAAAAATATTGACAGGAAAAAGATGAGGCGTTGGGGGACGTCCATGTAATAAAATCAACAATGACCTTTCACCACCCAAGTAATTCACAAGTAAGTTGAAAAAACAATATATTACAAATGCCTGAATAAATTGAATAAATTAAATTAATTGAAGATTAACTTTAATTTCATTAATTTGATTATTTAAAAGTAAACAATCATATTTTATAACTAACCTCATACATATCTCTTATACCGTCAACGTAAACTGCTGCACTAGTTGATGCCAAGCTAATATACGATGAAATTGCATAAATCGGCACCCTTTAGAGGAATCGATAATTAATTTATAATGATATATTATTTTAACAAATATAGTTGAACCTGACTTACATAATTATTATTCTCACTACATATCTTTGTAAGGACTAGTAAATTATTATAAAAAATATGAAGTAAGTATGAAAAAACTAAATAATTGGAAGCTTCATTTTCAAAACAGGCAAAACTTTGCTCATTTCCAAAGGTTGATATATAATTTTCCTCTTTTTCTCTTTTCTTTACCCCCTTTTTTTAGAAATTATATAACTAAACTTCAAAAAGAACGTACCGGTTTTCTGTAGTTTTTGAGATGAGACCAAACAGATAATGTTGATAGAGTTGTAGCTAAAATGGCAAAAAAAGCCGCGATAGCTCGTACCGAATCAGGGTTACGGAAATTTTCCGAAGATCCGCCAGATCCGCCGCCTCCGCCATCAAGTGAACCACTATTCTTTTGGAGTAAATTCTCCGTAATCGAAAGACCCGACATTCTTTTAATAAGTCCAGTCTTACACTCAAATACTCGTCCTTCTAAAAGAAAAATGTATTGATTTTCATGACGCATAACAAAGAAAAAGTGTAGATATTTCCTTTTGTATAATGCCACGATAAAAAATGGTTGGTTGATAGGTCGATCATTACTATATTAGGGGACGTCTAAAAGCGGGGCAGAATCACGCGTTATCACATGTGTCACACCTAGTTTTTTGAATGTCATTTTTGCCTTTTAAATCTTTTTTTTCTTGTTTTTTTCGCTAAATTTAATTCCGGCCAACATTAAGCAACTAGCATAAAAATTTACCTTTTTTGGAACTTATGTTAAACTTCTGGTAACAATTATATCGAAAAATCATATAACTTTATAAAAAAAATAAATAAAAATAACTTTAATAAATAGAAAAAATATAGTATTTGTATTTTTATTTATTTTGCAAATTTACTTTTAAAAGTATTATTATAAAAGTTAATTTTAAATATTAATTTTGATTTATTTAATAAATTCTGTTTTTTTTATCAAATTTAATTTTAAAAAAACTATTAATAGAATTTCATAATTTAAAGTTATATTAAATTTTCAAAAAAAATTACTGTAAAAATACTTTTAAATAAAAATGTTTGGTAAAATAAGAAAATTTTATAATAATTTTTCTTTTTTTTAATTATACTATTATATTATATCTGAAGGTAGCTCTGTAAAAAAAGTCAATCCATTTTTTATATTTCATTTTTTTTCCATAAAAAACTCACATTCTTCATAGTAATAGTAAGTGTAGGTATAAGCTATACAACTATAAAGAACTCCAGCTATTACATCTGGTAACTTTAAGATTTTTTGCATTAGTTTAGAGAATTTTGATAAAATCCTGATACCACTTCACACCCTACTATAACTTACTCATATATCTAAAATAAGCTATATAAATAAACAACTAACTGACCAATTATAAGATAATTTATATTATATAGTTTTTCTGAAATTATTACAGTAATCTTTATTTAATTTTCCTGATTCTATTATAAAAATTTACTTTTTTTAAAAATCTATATTTGAATATCTTATATATAAATAAAAAAATATTTTAAACTAAAAGATTTTACTATATTTTATTAAAAATAAGTAATATTATATTTGTATAGTATTTGAAAATAAACAACTTGTAAAATTTATTGAAAATTCTTTGTAAAATTTAACCAAATATATAATAAATGTAATTATTAGCAAGTAAATAATTTTGAAGTATTTTTAAAAAATTCTCAAGATAAATTCTTTAAAAGTTATTAATTAATAATATGATGCAAAAAGCATGGATAGAAGTAATCATAAAGATGTTTATGCATTAAACATAAATTTGGGTCTCATCAAGAAAGAAAAAAAGACAACTTTTACCTATGATTAGTAATCCTGCTGTACTTGTTACACCCATCCTTTACTGGATTTTAGATAATAAGATAAATAGGAAAGAAAATTTGTTGCATTGTTAAAAACAGGTTTAATATTTCTTTTTTTTGTAAAAACTCACTTTAAAGTTGAGATACCAGATCCAGGACCCCAGACATCACATATATAACTCATAACTGATCTGCATGAATTTAAGTACTTTTTGCTCCTGCTAAAATAGACCTAATTTGCTAAAAATCAAATTATCACATTTCAAATCTATACTAATTTGCTAAAACTCAAAATATGAATTAATAATCTTTTATTTTATTATCAATAAAAAAATAAATGATTAATATAAATTAAACTGCCAATTTTTATAATTAAAATATGTAGATTATAGATAAAATAATAATTAATAAAAATAATAAATTAAATAAATAATTATTAAAAAATAAGAGTTTTGTTTTTTATCGCTATAGCGATTTATCGCTAGTACCCTCCATCACATGATTTATTAAAATGTCATGTGATTTCGTTTTATACAAATAAATATGTATTTATTAAATTTACGATTTAAAATATTATATTACAAACAAGCAAATACAATACATTGTCTAGTTATTAACCCTAATTAACGTTAACAAGCAATATAAACAATATTTTCTACTGTTCACTTGTACGTTGAATCTTGCAGTTTTTTTAATAATGACCAATGTTTCCGCACTTTTTACATCGACGTTGATGCTTTGTTCTTTGATTCGGAATTTCATGAGCTGATTTGATTCTTTTTGTTCCCATTGGCCGACCTTTTCCACGATGAGGTTTTGGATTTTTCAACAACGTCGGATTAACATTTTCTTTATCATTGATATCATCCTCATATTCATCAGATTCTGACTGCTCATCAATATTATCATTCTCAGCAAATTCTTCAAGTAAATTAATAAGATTTTGTGAATTAAAATCTGTCTGTAATGCCTTTTTTAATGCTTTTTTATACGCACTATGCAATTTCCCATAAGCAATTTTCTGTTCTAAAAATGATAAACTTTCTTCTCGATAATCTTTAATAGAGCACAAGTATGGTACTGCATCATGATAATCAGATGTAATAATAAGTTGTTCTTGCATATACTTGTCAGCAAATATAAATAACTCATTTGAACCATTTCTCTCACCATTATACCATCGTGTTGGAATAAGTCTTATATGAAACATTGCATTGCTTGTAGCCAACATTACTTGAAAATAATGTCGACATACAATTCCACATCGTAAAATTGAAAGACATGAACATATATGTCCATTATTTTGCAATAAAATGACATAGTGCTTGACTTTTGATGAGTTTCCAACGCTAATTGACCATATTTCTTTAATATTTTGAAATTCAACAAATTTAATCATCTGCTTTAGTGTCGTTTGTGGAGTGTCAATATCATCATGTAATAAAGTCACATTTTCCTATTTGAATTTATTGAATTAAATAAGCATGTATAACGTACAATAGTCAATAGATAATAAAAAAGTAAATGATAGTTACCTCATCTAAAATTTCAATACTTTCTAAATCTACTAAATTCGCTATATAATAAACTGATTGATTCATTTCATCTTGATGCATTTTTAGCATTGTAGGTGTAAGAAATTTTTGAAGACACTCATCAACTTTAGTGAATAAAAAGTTAACTGTTTTTGGATTCTTTTTGATTGGAATTGACATACGCCAAAAATTATATTCATTTTCCTTATCTTGCATATCAAGCATTCTGTGAATTTCCGTCATAAGATTACATAATGAAATATTTGATTTTGTAGCAAACGTTTCAAACATGAATTTACAGACTCAACACGGGAACTGGCTATCATCCCTCCTGTAAACTTATAACTGGTAAAACAGTGCGCCCAGTACATCTTTGTTCTATACAAAAATTCAAGGTAAGATTTAGCATTAGGATAATCTTGAATAAGTTTATCAAATAGTTGTTCAAAGCCACTTTCAGACAAATTATTACGACATCTATAAAAATCTTCAAGAAATTTTTCATAATTATTGCTTAGTGACTTTTTAAGATTCTTGTGTAGATTCTGACTTATATGATAAGCGCAATGAATAGGGTAAGTTGAGTGAAAAACCTGACAAACAGAAGCATCTACAGCAGGATCTGCGTCTGTAATTATAACAGATGGATATACACCAGTTAATTGCACTAGTTGATTAAACATCCATACATGAGATTCAATACTTTCATCTGCTAAAAGTGCTTGAGCGAGTAAGATATTATGACGATTATTATCAAATCAGACAAACAATGACAGTGCCATCCCATATCTATTGGTTTTATGGGTAACATCATTAAGGACACAGTCAGTATATTGTATCCAATTTTCAACTTGGGTTGGAGCCATCCATAATAAATGTGTCAATGTATTATCATTATCCCATCCACGAGCAACTACCCAACGTGAATCATTTTCTTTTTGTTCATCAAGCCAATTTGAAATCATTGCAGCATCATTTAATAATGATTTACTAGTAGGACGAAAACTTTGAATTGTAGCATAAAGATCCTTTGAATCTATAGGATGTGAAGGATATTTCCCTTCAAGAAATTTTCTCTGTGCTGTAACACCAAATTTGCAAGATGTAGTCATAAATTTAATATCATCAATCATTGAAGGAGTAAATTTCTTAGATTCTTCAAATATAATACTTGATGTACTTAGTGAATGATTGTGTTGGTCATTAATCTTATTAATGAATACTGAATTTTCGTCATTCTTTGACTTTGAGCATGAAACATTAACTAAAAACGGACAACCAATCTTTTTTGTACTAGTATCTTTGGTGGAATTAGATTCATAAACACGACTATGAGAACAAATATATGTACGTCGGCGAATAATACCATCATCACGAGTTACACGATCTTTAATAATTCGAAATCCTTGTCTTTTGGCCCATTCATTTAAAAAGATTTCGCACTCATCCCATGATGTAAACTTCTTCTTTGAATACAACAATGCATGTTCATTTTCGTTAGATAAGGTTGTTTTATTATAATCTATACATATTAATAAAAAAAAGAAGAGATTATTAAAAAGAAAATATAAACTAATCCTAATCCTAACCCTAACCCTAACTCTAACTAACCCTAACCCTAACCCTAACCTAACTCTAGGCTTTACTGACTAATGTTACTCCAAGAAAATGCCAAAAAAATAAAACATACCATTGATAACATCGGAAATAAGAGGTTCGTTAAAATTTTCATTATCCATATTAATGACATCCGTATTATTAATGGCAAATAAATAGATTATCAAAAAGAACAAATAAAAGGGAATCAAAAAAAACAATCTGTAATTAGTTGAAAAAATTAAAATAGATGAAAAAAAGCAAACGTGAGAGAGAGGGAGTCGATCAACGAGATTATTAGTAATCAATTAATCAATTTATTTGTGTAAATCAGCTGATTTATAGTTAAAAAGTAAATCATATGATCAACCAAAAATTCACGTGATATTAAGGGACTAGCGACAAATCGCATATGCGATAAATGATTAAATTCAAAAAATAAAATGTTGCGAAACTAAACGGACAGTTTTTGGCCCGCATTATGCTTAATTTTGGCCGGAATTATACTTAATTTTGGCCAAAATATGACCCGGACCCGAAACTAATATTTTTAAAAATATTATTTATAAAGTTAAAAACAAAGGATAAGTTAAATTTAAAAAAAAGTACCAATTTGCTCAAATATAAAATATGACTTTGTAAAATCAATACAATTTGCTAAAACTCATAATTATAACTATTAATTAATTTTCAATCAATTTGCTCTTTCTAAAATTATGAGTTTAACCTAATTTTAATTGAATTTGCTAAAACTCAAATGTGAGTTATATATGTGATGTCCGAGGTCCTCCAGATCCTAATAAATATTAAGTAAGTTTTTTTGAAAGCTTAAATATATTTTTTTTAAAAAAATTTCCTTTTTTTAATTTTCTTTTTTTTTATAAGTATTTGTTTTCTTTTGGAATCCTTCTTTTGAATTTGGATTGGTAAGTTTTAATTTAAAATTATTTTTTAAAATATTTTTTTTTCATTATTTTGTAGAAACAGAACCCCAGACATCTCTTATAGAACTCACAACTGACTTTTTGCCAAAAAAAATCTAATTTGCACTTTTTTTATTTTATGTTTTTTGCGATTATCACGGTATCCAGTAATCTGATTCATGTGGATTTTTTTTTATTTTGTAGAGCTTGATGAAAGCTACAAAACAAAAAAAAAGTTTGTACAAATTGAACTACTAGATGCTGAGATAATCGCAAAAAACTGATTTTTTTTTTTATGAAATTTAGGTCAATATGCGAAAAAGTTGCTACTGAGTTGTATATGTAATGTCTGGGGTCCTGTAGAAACTATCAGTTCTAATCCTGGATTTAGATTTTTAATTTTTGATCAGTAAAGTTCAAAATGAAATGTAATATTTTTTTTTTAAAAAAAATATATTTAATAAGAATTCCGGACATCTCTTATAGAACTCACAACTGACTTTTTGCCAAAAAAATCTAATTTGCACTTTTTTTATTTTCTGTTTTTTGTGATTATCACGGTATCCAGTAATCTGATTCATGCGAATTTTTTTTATTTTGTAGAGCTTGATAAAAGCTACAAAACAAAAAAAAAGTTTGTACAAATTGGACCACTAGATGCTGAGATAATTGCAAAAAACTGATTTTTTTTTTATGAAATTTAGGTCAATATGCAAAAAAGTTGCTACTGAGTTGTATATGTAATGTCTGGGATCCTGTAGAAACTATCAGTTCTAATCCTGGATTTAGATTTTTAATTTTTGATCAGTAAATTTCAAAATGAAATGTAATATTTTTTTTAAAAAAAATATATTTAATAAGAATTCCAGACATTTCTTATAGAACTCACAACTGACTTTTTGCCAAAAAAAAACCCAATTTGCTCTTTTTTTATTTTCCATTTTTTGCGATTATCTCAGTATC